ATATTATTATTATATTCTTTTGTCACTAGCTTGGCTACGGAAAGTCACATCGATGCCTACCGTTTTCTACCTGCTGTTGAGTACCGCGAACTGATTGATCAGTTCAGATTGTCGTTCGTAGCTCGAAGACTGCTGTGCTGCGAACCGGTGCTGCGAACGCCTTCGTCGTGTCCTGGCCAAATTCGCTAGCGTCTGCAGGCGGCCGGAAGCCCGGCACCTGCCAGAATCAATCCACCGCCGTACACTGAAATTCACATAAGGCATGACAACGCAGAAATAATCCGACACCCGTTTTATGAGCCTAAGCTGCACACCTTGAAAGTCAGGATTGGGAGCCTTCACAGTTGATTAGGAGAATACCATGAGAGGCGTGAAGGCGAAATGCAGTTGCAGTGGGAAAAAATCTAGAGCATTATCGATAAAAATGATCTACAATTCTCCAATTAGCTCCCAAATTCCCCATAGTCATCTTCGGTGAAGGGACATATCAGGCTGGATGGGTTTGGCGCTTCGCCAAACCAGTTTTACACTAGTTGTTAGGGCGGAGCCACAATAGTGTATCATATCGTTCGTATCAGTGGTTTTGCACTGTTGCGGCTCACCCGCTTCAACAACGCCAAACCCCTCCCACCTGACGCACTCCTTCAACCACAGCGAGCAAGGCTGTAATGGAGCAATCACTGCTGACTATTCCCCCCCCCCCTTCTCAGTAACATAAACGTTACTTGGAATGTGTCGCGCTAGGGTTGATATAAGAAGCGAAAAATTGTTGAAGTACTTTGTTACTCTGGTCAGAATCGCTTTTTTTTGTTAGGCCAGCTGGGCCACAAATACTTCAATACCAATCGTCGATCAGGATCAGCTAAACCCGTTATCGATGAGTATTTTGGGTTTCATAGCTGGTTTTATGAGTCACTCTACGGACAGCTGCGCAAGAGATATTAATGGGGCACCAGGGCTCTTGTGACTGGAAAAAAGCCCTTGAAATTCCAGCGAGTTGTACAGCGACTACTGTCCAGTACAGAACGACGGTCTGCACCAACCCTGCCAGAGCTATTCGCAGGAGCTTGCTCAGGTTGACGCAACACTGTACTAATCCATTGAACTCACAAGGACGGTTTATGGATGAGTTCATCGTCTCCGCCAAATGTGAATGCAGTGGTGCACGGTTTGGTTCTGCTCACCTAAATAACAAGAAGATCTCAGGATAATAGGTCCTGTCATTCCTTGATCCGACTGTCCAGAATTATGATGGTGTGAGAACGAGAGCACGAGTGCTCCTCTGCCCCCCACTTCCTTCCCCCTCCCTCCCCATCCCTCTCCGAACACAGACAGTCTGCTCTACCGTCTGCTTTGACGTCCTGAAGTTGTGAAACATCGCACCTGTCCTTCATAGACTCTCCGACAGTTTGTGATCATTGATAGTGAAAGGCTCGTTTTTTTTCGTTGGCAAAAAGCACACATCAAGTAGAAGGATGCAAGAACGAACCTAGGGAATGAACAATGGTGAAACTTTGTCGCAGCCTAGGATTGCAATGAGAAGTGACAAAACCGATCAGAGTGCGATTATGCTGGTCAGGGAATTCAGTACGGCACACACACGACCATCGCGATTTTTTTTCGGAAAATGAAATAGCGCGGAAAAGCGGCAGCGTTGTGAGCAGAAGACAACACCAGAGCTAACTGGAGCAGTAGGGATGGCGAGCAAAAAGACGGGAATTGGCTATGTAGGTCTACAAGTAGCGCAAAACGGTAATTCCCCAAGCCATGCGCCTTTGCAGAGAATTGATCCATTGTTTCACTTAATTTATTTATTTAGTACGCTGTTTAAGACAACGCTCGATAAATGAGAACAAAACTAAACATAAAACAGAGAAAAGAACACTACACATTGATTGAGCATACAACACTATGCATGAGAGACGTTGCTTAGCCATGTATGTTCGAAGGAAGTTATAGAAGCCATGAACAATAGGTTTGCCCAATACTAAGATATGCATAGACGCCTCATAATAGTGAAGAAATAGGCGCTTAAGGTTGTTTTAGGGCGCGCAATGTAGATGCTTATGTGTAACCACCTCTGCTGTTATGGACGGAAATAAGGGTGCTAAAAACTGAGAAACAATCAGGCACGCTATTTGCCCTTCAAGAGTCTAATGCCAACATACATTTAAGTCGAAAATGGTCCGCTCCCTAGAGTGTAGTCGAAGGTAAGACCGAAATAATTTGTCCTATTTTCTACTCTAGGGACCTTTAGCTATACAGAGAGCCCCGCATTAACATTGTTGAACGTTTTGAACTTGCAATAAGAGCAATTCCCTTTTTAGAGGGCCAAAAACAACGGTGCTCTCTCTACCAAAGTCCGAACATAGATCTTGTAACTCTAACATAGCACCTGCTATCCGCAGTATTACGCTTCAAATACTGCGATAGCTTGCGATGAAGGGCTTTTAATATAATACAAGGGTAGGGCAAAAAAGTCACTTGATTCGCACCCCAGATACGATGATAAGTGATACGGCTACCAGGGCGCGAGAATACCCAAGATGTTCCTCCTAAACAGGAGCTGCCCTCGCTCCATCCCTTCAACGGTACAACCAAAATATGAATTCATCTCCAGTCAGTAACCTACTGGAAAGACTGCGATCATGTTCACTTCCAACAGCTGCGAAATCTCCTAGTTATGATCACCACGATGGATTAGCTACTCTGACACCGATGACTTCTCGATCTGAAGCAACTCCGACATCGAGCAGCTCCGACAACTCGCTGAGGTCAAGAGACACCATCTTCACCCTAAGGCGACGCAAAGAAAAGGCACTTTTCTTCTCGACATTTAAAGATAAATAAGTTACACTTTATTAAACTCTGATTTGTATTACCACCACCAAATTCAGCAACACATTGAACACGATCACGAAACTCCTCCACAGCCTTCTGCACGAACGCCAGCGAGAGATTCTCCCACGCGACTGTGATGCGAGTGCCTTGAATAGCGAGCATCTTGCATTTTCTCCGTCACTGGAGACACTGTTAGCTCCGCCAAAGATATGGTAATCGAGGGCGTCAAAGTCAGGGACACGCTGAGCCATGTCCGTCTTCTTTAGCGTACTCAAACTCCCTTCGCTTCAAGTAGGCAAGAGAGTTCTTCGCTCCATGCTTGCGCCCAGTCCTGTTGACAGTACGAAGTTTCGCGAGGTACACGGCGACCGCTGCGATAAAGGCCAGGAATACCCTCGAGCTGCTTGATGTAGCAGTCAGCGTCTATCTTCAGTCCAGGTTCCACGAAGAGGATATCGGTCTTGCCATTCCATGAAATTCCTGCCCATACCATCAGCCCGCCGCGGTTGTCGAATTCAGTGAAACTGCAGAGCGTTCGTGGCGACCTCCTCTCGTGGGTCCACGAACGGGTATTGTTGCTGCCCGTGCAGGAGAAATCATGAAGAGTTTTTTGAACACAATCTTCTTCACGAACTCCTCCTTCAGCTTCGGCAGTAGATTCCGGCAGCACTTCAGGCGTTGCTTTCGCTGGGCGTCGTTGAGGCTGTGCACGCCTCAACGACCCATAACGTACCTAAAAAGGGGTGATTAGAAGTGTAGTGGAATTCGGACAACCGACCTTGGAAACCGATTTGAATCCCTAGTTCTTTGAAATCCGGCGAACAGACGTGCGGGGGATGTTGGTGTGATCAACGAGAGGCAAGCCACTGTCATGGTACGCTCCTAGGCGATTATGCCTGGACCATTAGCGACGATTTCGGGGCGCGCTCGATGTCTGAGCTTCAATCCAGATCCTGGATTGTCCAGGTAGCGACCCATTGCGGTACTCGGGTACATGGAAGTTCCGCAGCTGTCCTGAGGCCAACCGAATTCGCATAGGCCTGCCTCCAGCTCCAGTCTGCGATGGCGGATGGCCCATATTTTTGGTGCATGAAGGTGCTTGCTCTGAGCCCCTCATCAAGAAACTTCTGTATCTATACTCCGTCCCATGTACTCGCGCCCATTCCCTTTTCTCCGGGCCCGCTCCTGTATTCTTTTCTAATAGAGGCAAATTGCCTTTCTTGCCCTGTATCCTGTAAGGTGAAGATGTGTCCTTGACCGTAGCGACGTTGTCGGAGCTGCTCGATGTCGGAGGTCTTCCAGATCGAGAGTACTGGTGTCCAGGTAGCTATCCATGGGTGACTCCATACTAGCAGTTTCGCAGCTGTTTGGAAGTGACATGAATTCCGAAGGTCTTCTCCAGTCAGGTTGCGACTGGAGATGACTTCATATTTGTTACAATAACGGATGGAGCGAGGGCCAGCTCCTGTTTATGGAGGAACATCTTGGGTATCCTCCGCCCTGGTACTCGTATCCACGTCCTCTGTCTGGGCTGCGAAAACTTTGCTGATATGTGACTTGGTCAAAGTGACTTTTTTTTGCCCTCCCCCCTGTATATGCCTGTATGCACAGGAGAGATTCAAGAGTTTGTTAAGTATAGGATCCGAAGATCCTTGACCTCGTTAACCGTGTAATCTCCTCGTTGTTTATGAAGTAAGTTGCGTTACAGTGGAAGAAGAACCCATGCGCATATGAAACGTTTCGGTAGACGAAAGCGGTATCTGCCAATTCGCTGACCAATGTAGAAGCCGATCAATTGTGGCCTGTAAATTATGGCGCATCCTGAGGGGAAGCTAATCATGTAGAAACATCATCAAAATTTCTCATAACTAATCTGTGTGATTTATCAAACCCCATAGTTGAAATTGACTTGAAACCTGCGAAAAAGAAAATGTTGCACTGGTGAGAAAAGTTTGATTATAGAAAAAAGAGTACCGCTCGTCCGCTGAATCGCACCTCTGCGGGGAATTAGGACAGTCAAGAGGAGGCTGGAACGCAAAATGGAGAGCCCATCATGAAATTCAGCGGAGGAAACCTAAGAGAAACGTTTTCTCAGGCGACACACTGGCGTTAAGTGAAATAGCAAAGCAATTTACTTTGGTGAGCGATGATGTGGGAAGTCAGGCGATAGACGTGGTCGCGGGACAGTGGATCAGTGCCAAATTCATAACCATCGAGCTATCGAGCAAATCGTGCAGCGTCCGCATGTTCACAAGCCTATCGCCACCACGGGTGCGTCTCGCGGGAGGTGGTAGAGGGTCGTGTTTATGAGAGTGCACGAAAATCTGGAACAAAAGAACAAAACTAGTGAAAGTGAGAGTGAGTGGGAGTTGATAGCAGTACCTTGGGAATTGAGGCTAGGAGTGGATAGTGGATAGGAAGGCGGACGTCGACCCGAACTGCGCCGACGCTGAACGCTTCGTACACACGTTTGCCACTGAAAACACAGAAAACAATGGATATGGTCTTGGTGTGAATCATTCCATTAAACGACGACTTCCTCTGCTCATAAAACGCTGAACAATTCGAGTTTTAGTCTGTCAGTGATTTTCTCAGTCACAATCACGGCTTTCGTGCAACAAATGACGAGAACATTTGGAACATAAGAACAGACAGATCTTTGGCATGTTCCTTCAGTGGGGGGGGAGTGGGGAGGAGATGATAATGAGAGACAGCAGCGTTCACTGCTGACCAGAAAAAAATGCTTCTTATAAAAGATATAAAAATAGAACTTGGGACGGGTGTTCGAAACTACTGCTCGATCGGCCTTGAATGTTCCCTTGGTTGATGCCGTTAGATGAGCGTCACCATTCAATTCACGCTGCCTTTTAGACTCAAGATCCTGGGGCCCCGAGGTGAACGGTCGATATGCCTTTGAAAGAGCAGTAATCATGGGGGGGAGGGAAGTGGGGCAAACCACAAAGGGTTCTACGACAGTGGAGTGCTGCTGTTCTCATGGATGGCTCATGCTGGACGACATCTGACGGAACTGGATCAGCAGATGTTCTCTACACTGAAGGATATAGTCATGCTGAGGAAAAGACCATGAGGTTTCGCCCAGCACCAACCACCACAGCTTAGAACGTTTTTACCCTGCACCCAATTTCACTGTTTAGAGTAGCCGAAAAATAGAAGAGTACTGGTAGTATTACTGTGAAAGCCAGGTACCAGGTTGAACGCTCCTCATTCAGGAGAGCACATTAGAGCGAACTGCTCTCTTAGAACGCAGCAAAAACTCGTCCAAAAATCTTTTTGTGACGCCATACAAATAAAACGAGAAGAAAATCACCAGGGGAGAGTTGAAGGCGTTGAATTGACGAGGTATGGGTAACCGCAAACGAATTCAACGCAATCACAAGAACGTGCGCGTCACGGCCATCATCAGTTGCAACTCGATAATGAAACTCACCTCTGACGGGAGCAATTGAGCGAGTTGAGCTTGTTGAAAAGTGCCGATTGTAGCAAAGCTGCCAGTTGTTGCTGTTAAGCAGCAGCGGCCGCCGCTGCTGAACTGGCCACCAACAACGTGCTGAACGTCGGCCTCAGCCGGCACGGTAACGCGGTGCCTTCTGGTGGGGCCTGCAAGTATTATATCAAGTGCAGTATCTGAAAAGTAACTCTCTACCAGAAGTGGCTCGTGAATCGATGCGATGCCCTTATTTTTCTACTAGATAGTTCTGAAAACTGTCTCCCTCTGTCTCTCGCACAGAACATTCTCCTGCTCAAAACTACTGCGATTTCGTTACCAGGCAGAAGAATTTGCAATGTGACGATTGTGGAACATACATGAGCTG